TCCTTTTTTTTTTTTTTTTTTTTTTTGAAATGCAACCACTCTATTACATCCTTTGTTGCTGACAAGTATGGTGCGATTTTGATGTGTTACATGGCTCAAATTTGTGGCCTAATTGCAGCTGTAAATATTAATCTGTTGTGTGGCTGTTTTAGTGAGTGTATGTGTGGCTGTAGTTGCTTCTGGCTGTTTTTGCACTTTGCTGCTGCTGCTGCTGCTGTTGTTGTTGCTGTACAATGCTGTTGCTGCACAATGCTGCTGTTGCTGCACGGCGCTGTGGTTCTGCTCCTGCTGATGTCTACTCCTGATGCTCATGTTGCTATGCTCCTGCTATTGTGGTTATGCTCCCATTGTAATTTTTTTTTTCTTTATTTTTTATTAAAGTGTAAAACATTATAGTAATTTATTAATGAAAATATCTAAGTTTTTATATGTACAAGTCTTTGTGTATTAATTTATTGAAAAAAATGCAAAATTTATTTTTATTTTTTGGCGTAAAGGCACCGGTTCAGAGGCAATCCGGCCCCCTTTACTTCACTTCAGGCACCGATTTTGCCTCTGAACTGTTGCCTTTATTGAAAAAGAGCATCGATTTTGAACTGGTGCCTAATAACTTTTTTCTACTGGTGTTATTAGCCACGGTAATATGTATGACAATAGAGTTTTAGCCACGGTATTATTTGTGGCAAACAAACTTATTAGCCACAATAATATTTATGGCAATGTTTATTAGCCATGGTAGAATTTGTGGCAAACAATTTGTTAGCCACGTTAATATTTGTGGCAATTGAATTTGTTTGCCACGTGTATACCCGTGGCATACAAAAATTAAATTTGCCACGACATCCATTTTCCTGTGGCAAATCCTAGCCACGACCTCTTATGCCACGGGAGTAAATTTCAAAATTCCCATGGCTAAATTACATAGCCACGGGAATTTCAAACTTGTGCCGCGACTTTACTCGTAGCACAAAGGTCAATTTGTTGTAGTGTTTAGTGCTTCAAGGTCGGCGAGAGACTTACGCCAACAAATCAAATGATTAGTAAGATAACTGAGCAAAGATCAAGTCTTACGCTAACAATCAAGTTGAAGCACATTTGGCCATCTACCTCTTGGCCTCTCAACACTAAGGCCGCATGCGGCCAAGTAAGTTTCATCAGCTAGCTTAGCAATTCATAGTTGGGAATGTAGCTGTGGGGAACTATCTCTTTCTCTCCAGTTCCTTCCATTAGCCGAATGGCCACTTTGAAGAGACCTAGCTCCAAGATCTGCTCTCGGCCCTTCCTTAGGACAGGCGGCAGCTCAACCTTGTGACCCAGCAGAGAGGGGTTCCGGTTCCAGCAATTGTATTTTTGTTCTTCATTTTGTCGGGAGAGGAGATGATATAGAACTTGCCCTCCAGTCTTTCCACTTGGACTCCTTCACGACAGCCATCATATAGCCCTTGTGGCTTAAAAGGGTGTACCAACCGGACCCGCTTGCTTTGGGGGTCTAGCTTAGGTAATGCATCTTGGCGAAAGCCTCGAAGCTTGGTTCTACTTTCAACATTTTGCAGGAGGCAACGTACCCCATGATATTCACCCAAGAGTTGGGGGCAAGTTGCCAGACACCCAGCTGGTATCTGTCCAAAATCCTCTCCACAGCCGGATGGAGAGGGAATATTAAACCAGCTTGAATGGCTGTCTCATAGTAGCCAAAACACTCGTCCTGATTGCTAGACTCTTCCGGCCAGACAACAGTGTCTTCCGGATCAGGGACCCTAATAACGTATCCATGTCCCATGACATGGTCCGATTTAAAATTTTTTTCAACTTATCAAGCATGACCTTCCGCCTGCTTGCTGGGACATGATGATAGTAGGCGGAAAATTGCTCTCGGCGGGAGGCGGAGACAAAGGCCCATCCCTCACCCCTCTCTACAGGGAGGGACTCTCTCGCCGTCTCCAGCCGTGAGAACTCTTCTTCAAAGCTCTCACAGATCCTATCAGAAGAAGACAACCCCGATTCACCGTTAGAATTGTTGGACCTAATGTCTGAATGGGACGCCTGATCAACAGAGGTAGGAGCATTGCTCTCTGACTCCTCCCCATACTCATTTAAAATTGAGTCACCAGGAGTACTAGGGGCACCTGGCAGCTGGTCAGACAATTCACTTACAGGCGCCCTAAAGGAGTCGTCTGGATTTTGCTACCTATTCGTTCTTTTCGTTCTGGCCATAGTGTCCTGCACAGACATAGAGACGGTCAGATTCGGGGAAGTTTCCAAAGGGGAGTCCAAGAAGGGGTAGCCGGCACTCCTAGTTCTAGACTCAGCTATCCCCGGTGACCGGCTGATCGCTATCCTAGGCCGTGCCGTGCGTGTTTCTGAAACCATTTTCAAATTAAAGAAATAAAGCTGAAATTAAAGAAAAAGAGAGAGAGAAAAACAGGTGGTTACCTTTAGAACGAGGGTACTAAGGATGCTTGGAAGTCTTGGTCGGCTGTGGTACAGGCGGTCAAGGTGCAAGCGGCAGAAGTTTTTCTCAGAATAGTCAAAATTCTGTCTCAAACTATTTCGTAAACGTGCGAAAATGGGGGGGGGGGGTAAATGACTATTTATAGAGGGTTAAAAATTTGGGGTCCAAAACCCTAAATTCACTCCAGAAGGTGAACAGTAAAAAAACTTGTCACCAGTGCATGCGTGACACTTGTCACAGGCGCCACGTGGCACGCCAGGTCACCATTGTGAGGGAAAAGTGATTTGGGTATTTTTACCCAGCCATGTGCTCCAGTCAGAGCGTGACACATGTCACTCTAGGAAGAGTCCAAAGTGGACCTACCAGAGCATGACATGTGACAGGCGGATACCCCAAAGGAAATGGCGGCCTTCAAGGCCCATTTCCCAAGAGAGCCGCAAAACGGCGCAGCCCACCAAACCTAGGTCAGAGTGACCTAGGTAAAGGCACAATTTCCAATGACCATATAAATAGGGAGATTTACACCATTTTGGGGACACGTTCATTTATTACATCGCAATTAATTCCCTTACAACAAAGAAAACACTGATATCAGGATATGAGAAGATATTTTACTTTCTGCTTTTTTACTCCAAACACTTTCTAACTTGATCGTCGGAGGCGGAACTCTGACCATCTGGAGCTTCTTTTGTTTTGCAGGTACAACCGGCAAAGGGAATCTAGTCTTGGTGACGTAACTCTCCCGTAGGATAAAAAAAAACCCTGAAATATTTATCATTGAATTTTTGCTTAGCAATGGTGAAAAAAGACAAGTTTCAACAAAACAAGACTCATATTTTGTATCAAATAATAAAGTATGAATAAGAAGAAATAATTTTTAAACATTTTAAAGAATAAAAACTTACTACGGAGTACATTATTACTAGAGTATTGGTTATGTTAGTAATTAGTTTTTTGTTGATTTATTTTATGCATTACTGATTTTGGACTATGTTCATGCATCATTATATATTTACTTATTTTTTTAATAGTTTATGCATCATTACTTCATTATTTTTTTTAGGAATATATCATCGGAACAACTATAGAAGAAAAGAAAGTGTTTAACTGCCCGAAACAGATCGATCTAAATGAGAACCGAACCGATTAAAATCAAATTTTTTGAAACCGAAAACCGACCCAAATCATACTTTAGTAAACCTGAAACCGTACCGATCCGAATAATGTTAAACCATATAAGAACCGATCGAGCCCGTTAACGAATCAAACCATTTCTAAACTGAACTGCAATAGAACCGACGTGAAACAGAACTGAACCGAAAAAGAACCAAACCATTGTTAACCCGTACCGTTTCTAACCCGAAACCGTTTGAATCGGGTTAAAAACCGTTTACACCAAACCGTTTACAAACCACAACCCGTTTGCACCGAACCATTAACTATCCGAACCGTTTACAAGCTAAAACGAATTAAAACCGCACAAAATTGAACCAAATTGATAATAATTTGAATCGAACCGAAATTGACCAGTAGGTCACTTAAATCCAAACCGAATCGAAACCGAACTATAAAACTGTTTTGACAGTGCTACTTCTACATGATCATTCAATTTCTTATTAAAATTTAAAACCGAATGTTACACTATTATGCCATTCAAATGACAGACTATACATCAAAGATGAGCACAAAAACCACTAAAATGAAAAAACCACCCATACAAACTATTCTAAAAACTACCAGAAAGTGAAGGGGAAAATCAAAAAGTTCTCCCATTGTTTTTTTAATAAGTGTTTCATTAGCACTTTTACACTTTTCGCTTGGCTTACTTTGGCTAATGTTTGTAATTTATATATAAGAAAACTTATAGTCTTGTAGGTATTTGTTGGAATCGTCTTAATAAATAAACTAGTTTGTGATCCGGACATTGGGATGTTATTGTTGCCCCGTGATGTTACTTTGAGTAATTTTTTTTAATAAATTGTTTGAACTTTTAATATTGTAATATAATATTGAATAGCGAAGAGAATATATAGAATTATCTGAGTTTGTTTTGTTTTAGTTTGAATGCTAATTTTTATTCTACATTTAAATATATTTATATGGATGAATAGAATATAAATTATTGCTAGATAAGATGACACTTGTATCGTATTTATTCCATGAGGTTATGAGTTCAAACCACTTTATATGTGTTTTTTATCGTTTCTACTCACAAATTGTTGAACATAACTTGGAACGGAGATAATATAAAAAAAAATTGGAGACAGGGAGTAACACATTGTAAATAAGGTGATCAATGTTGAAAAAAGAGAGACAAGCAGTCGATAAAACCCACGGGCTATTAAAAAACACCTGTCAAATACAAAAAACAATTAAAAAGACAGCGGTATAGTGCATTGTTTTGCCCTCACACGTGGTACACATTGCTCATCCCACTGTCTCTAAGTTTCTCCCTCTATGCTCCTGATGCATGCATACTAGTGTGTTTTTTTCCTGACCTCCTGTCCTATATAATCTAACACAACTCCGAGTTATTTTCTTCACAACTCCCATTATATCACTTGCGCTCGTGCGCGCACATATACATTCACATTAGTCACATAGACGTATATATGGCTGCATCAGTGGATCCGTTGGTTGTTGGTAGAGTGATAGGAGATGTGGTGGACATGTTTGTGCCGAGTGTAAGCATGTCTGTTTACTTTGGAGCTAAGCATGTTACCAATGGCTGCACTATCAAGCCTTCTATTGCTGTTGATCCTCCTCGCCTTCTCATCGGAGGCCATTCTGATGTCCTTTACACCTTGGTTAGTTTGTCCATTAATTCCACTCTATATATGTATATCTATTTTTTCTTTTTCATCTTTGTATTAATTCTGAATAGTTGCACCATTTTAATATCTCCGTTTCCAAATAGTTGCACCATTATACCTTTCATACTGTTCACTTGTCTTACTTTAAACTATATATAGCTATATGTTATCATGTAAAATCGAATGTATTTGTGCTAATACACGAGCTATAGTTTAAAGGGAAAAAATAAAGCTATGATATCTTTTTTTCTTCTTGTTAAAAGGCGAGGCATGGAAATTTTTTTATTGAAAATTAAGGATTTTAGGGATGTGATTAAAATTATTTTAAAAAATGACATTCTCGTTTATACGTAGATGTTTGGCTTGCCTTCATGTAAATTTCTAATATATCAAAATTTGTTAATTTGAATTAATACTTCATAGATATTAATGGTAAAAATAGTGCAATTACTTGTCCTATTTATTAGGCAATTATCCCTGTAATTGGTCTTTTATATATTTATTTATTTATTAATGTAACACTTTCTATTTAAAAGAAAATGGTCTACACAATCTTATTATATCTTTCCTCATATGGTCCTCACTCTTATCCAAGGCACAGTTTTTGTTAATATATTTTTTCTCTCACATCCCTTACTTTTACATAAACTATTACTCACTTTCAATAAAATTCACTTATACAATATTTTAATAAATTCAACACAACCACATAAAATTCTGTGTGGGTCAATATGTCTCGAATTAGTTGTCATATTGAATCAACACTTGTAAAGGAAGTAATTTAAAATCAGGATACATGCATATGTTATGTCTCGAATTAGCTGTCATATTAGACTAACACTTGTATTTATGCATGTTATGGGCCGGATATTACGCGATTAAAAACACGCGATCAATGAATGGAATTAATCGATTTATTTCCATTTTAATCCCTCATATACTTCATTTGTCTCATAATAATTGACATAATCAAACTTAACATGCATGTTAATGCACTAGTTTGACCTTAGATATATGATTGAATATTAGTAAAAAAAATAACAAAATTGATATTATTAAACTTTATTATATATACCTATTAAACAATGTATTTCATGATAAAATTCGTTTTGTATACGTTACCAAAAAACGAAATTCGTTTTGTATACGTTACCAAAAAACGTTGGTCAAAGGTACTATTTGAATAGTGAAAAAAGTAAAACATGTCAATTATTTCGGAACAAAAGGAGTATATTTTTAAATGTAAGTTACAAATATTAAAAATTGAAATTACAAAACCTTATATTAATACCTATATAACAACATATTTCATTGCAAAACTTGTTGTTAATACATTACTAAAAAACTGTGGTCAAAGTTAATATATGAAGGTATAAGCTAACGAACCCTAGGGCATCAAATATATATGATGACTAAAAATAGAAATAGTAACTTACAAAAATACCAATTACACCGATCGATGTGTGATTTTGGCATGCATTTCAAAATTATTACCTTTTAGGAAGTGTATTAGATTGTTGTCTAACGCCCTCGTTAGATAAATCCATATATGAACAATGAAAAACAGTCGAACGTGTCAATTATTCAAGGTGACGGGAGTACGGCAAGTAGCATTCTCTTCACGTTTGAAATATTTTATCTACAAATTATTTCTACACACTAATTAACCATAAATTATGAAGCAAAAATCTGTTTGAGCACTAATCCATATAATACACTAAAATAATTAATACATTAATAAATGTTACACTTTGATCAAACATGTATGCCGAGACACGATTTTGACCATTAATTTATCTAATTATATATTAGTAAAAATATATGTTATTGTACTATACAAAATTTCATTTTCCATATAATTTTTATAACTATATGGAAATTTTGTATTTTTCCATCTCAAAAACACAACATTTTTAATTTAAGCACTCGTTTTTTGTTTATTTTATTTAACCACTTACCAAAAAAAAAAAAAAAAACATAAAGATTTCACCACCTCTTAAGCGAAAATTTTCGTGTCGATAACTTGTTCTATTAAAGTTTTGGGGTTCATTTTTGCCCTTTAGATTCCAATTTGAGGTCAAATTAAAAGCATAATCCGTATGTATTGTTTTGCGTGCTAAAAAATATCTCAGTTAGTGGGACACGCACAAAAAGAGGCATATTCGATAAATTATTTGTCACTTTTGACTTTAAATCGAATTTTAAAGCACCAAAATAACCCCAAAACCTTAATGTAGTAAGTTTTGGCACAAAATCGATAAATTTTTTTTTTTATTATTTTTTTTTAATGGAACATAATGGTTCATGTAATTGTCTGAACATTCTTGCATTGTGCATAAAATAGTCCATGGAAATGCTCAAAATGTATACATTTTGACATGCAGGTGATGACAGATCCTGATGCTCCTAGCCCCAGCGAGCCCTCCATGCGAGAGTTGGTACATTGGTAACTATTCCATCCTTTTGTAATTAGTCATTTATCACTAATAACACGTTATATCGTAGTAATTTTCTTGTAATTGTCTCTTGTAATTGCATTTTTAGTAATTTAAGAGTTTAATTTACACTAAATTAAATTTTCAGGATTGTCACTGATATACCTGGTTGTGCTAGTACATCTTGTGGTAATTCTTACACCCTTTATTTTATATTGTTATTTTTTGGTCCGAATGAAGCATAAGGACATCTACAAACGGGAAGGGAGTTTATATGTAATTGTGACTCATCGTACAAAGACCTTATATCTACTTAAAATGTTAGTAAATAGTAAATATATATACCAAGTAGTAAAATGGACTTGTTTTGAGGATGCAGGAAAGGAAGTGGTTGCGTATACTGGGCCAAGGCCACCCGTGGGAATACACAGATTCATACTGGTGTTGTTTGAGCAAAAGCAACCATTGGGTATGGCCGTGGAGCCACCGATTAGTCGTGCTAATTTTAATACACGCCTCTTTGCTGGTAGACATGGGCTTGGCCTCCCGGTCGCCACTGTCTACTTCAATGCCCAGAAAGAGCCTGCTAATAAGAAACGATGAACCTGTAATAGAAATGACGAGCAACCCTAGTAAATTGGTTTAAGTCATCATTGTTGTAAAACCTTGTCATTTTAAGTTATGGTATGGTATATGTATGGTTTTTATGCATGTACATTTTAAAAAATATTTGACTTCTTTCTCACGCCTTTTACTAGTTCTTATATTCAATCTATCTGTTTTTATACATATTCTTCATGTTTGGCATATTGGATAGTATTTAAAAAAAAGTTAGTAAATTGTTATATGCAAATATTGTAATATGAGAGGGAAACAACCAAATAATGTAGATTACCTCCCCATAATTCAACGTCATAGTCATTTATACTTTAATCTTTTTTTTTTTTTTTTTTTTTTTTTGGATAAGTAAGATTTTATACCAAAAAGAGGAGGGCAAGCCCTCAAAACTCCAAAACTACACAGTCCGAAGACCAAACAACATTTATACTTTAATCTAACCTAAGCATATGCACGCTCTATCTCTCTCTAACCTAAGCTCACTTACTATTTCTGAAAGTTCGATTCACTTACTATTCATGTAGTCAAAATAAAATAACTTTGACCACATTTTATGATTTATACAATCAAAAATAAATTAACAAGTTTGATTTTATTAGATTCCCCTAATGCTAAATTTTTCAAATATCAACTTTTTAAACATTTTACTTATACATAGCCAAAATTATTAGTAGTCAAAGATGTTTATTGGAGACCGTGCAAATGTAAAGTAAATGACGAAGGGAGTATGAGGGATTGAGGGTTTTTTTGTAAAACAAAAAAGTACAGATGAGGGTGTGGTAGATTATTGGAAAATCAAGTGATGTGGAAGAAATTAAAAATTGAATTGAAAAAGATTGAATATAGGAAGAACTTTTTGATATGCCTAATACAAGCGGTCTGTTTGGATGTAACCATTTTATTTCAAATAATGGATTCAGACCAAATCACTTTGAAGTTAATTATTAATACCTACACCAAGTGTATGAACTCATACCTACCACTCCCCCCCCCCCCCCCTTCTTTCCTAAATAACTACTAGTCTATTATCAACATGAAAAAAAAAAAAAAAATTCAGTTTTCAACCTTTTATTTCTCCTCATATGAATGCAACTTTTCTTTTTTCCTTTTTTTTAAAAAAAAAAAAAACCGTATTACTACTACTTTTTCTCTCTCCTCAAAATTTTACTCACTTTTCTACTCCATTTTCTTTGCCTCATTCGCCCAAAATAATCCCACTATTGCCTCATCCGTCCAAAATAATCCATCTTACCTATTTAACAAGAATCCAGATGAATCTTGTGTTTACAAGAAGGTGAGTGGGAGTGACATCGCATTCCTCGTCTTATATGTCGATGACATATTACACATTGGAAACATCATTCCAATGTTAGAGTCCGTAAAGGCCTGGCTTGGAAGGTGTTTTTCAATGAAGGACTTGGAAGAGGCACAGTACATATTGGGCATCAACATCTATCAGGATAGATCTAAAAGGATGATTGGATTGAGCCAAAGTACTTATATTGATAAGGTACTGGCACGATTCAACATGGAAGGGGCCAAGAGAGGGCACCTACCCATGTCACATGGTATAACTCTCAACAAGAAGTAGTGTCCACAGACACCTGATGAGCGAAAGATGATGAATCAGATCCCATATGCTTCGCTTATTGGATAGATCATGTATGCCAGGATATGTACTAGGCCGGATGTGTCGTATGCCTTGAGTGCTACGAGCCGATACCAATCAGACCTAAGAGAGGCGCATTAGATTGCGGCAAATAATATCCTAAATTACCTGAAAAGGAATAAGGATGAATTCCTGGTCTATGGTGGAAATAATGATTTGGTTGTTGAAGGTTTTACCGACGCAAGCTTCCAGATTGACAGAGATGACTCCAAGTCGCAGTTAGGGTACATGTTCTGTCTAAATAGAATGGCGTTTAGTTGGAAGAGTGCTAAGCAAAGCACTACTGCAGATTCTACAACTGAAGCCGAATACTTGGCATCTATGGAGGCAGTTTGGATTCGTAAGTTCATTAGTGAACTTGATGTTGTACCCTCCATCAAGGGTCCGATAGACCTCTATTGTGATAACAATGGAGCTATTGCTCAGGCTAGGAAGCCAAGGGAACATCAGAAAGTCAAACATGTCAAGAGACGATTTCACATGATAAGGGAATGGAAGTCCGAGGGTGAAATCAGAATTTGTAAGACTGAAACGGACGACAATGTAGCCGATCCACTCTCTAAACCTTTACCTCAAGTGAAGCACAACAAGCACGTTGAGGCAATGGGAATCAGGCATGTTGGAGATTGGCTTTGATTTCCCTGTTCATGTGTTTTAATAAAATTTGAGGTTTTTAAATGTAAAACACTATGTTGAACCATTCGGTTTTGAAGTAATTTAATTTTTTGCAAAATTATCATCACTCCATTTCTATTTAATTGTGGTTTAGAATTAAATAATAAGTCCATTCGATATATAAGAATATTCAAAACAGGGTATCGAGACAATGTCTTGGATAAAGAAACACCTGTTAAGTGAACATTGAAAATTTCAAATCGAAAATTATCCCTAATCAATTAAGGTCATTTAAATGATGGACGATTAATGACCACTAGAGATTAGTGTGTAGTATGATTTATAGCACCTTTTCTTGTGCTACAAGGACATGATTGTCATAAATCATTTGCGCAGGTATTGGTTTGGAACTATACCGGATCGACCTATGAGAATACTTTAAGAGCTTTAAAATCATCATAAGTATATTTCTCATTATAGCTATTTGGACCTTTTTCCTCGACCATGAGTATTGTAATTCTCTTGTTTGAGTACTAGTCCGTTTTGATGTTGTCAAACGTCTGCTGTAAATGGGGATTATAACGACAACACTCGGGCGGCTAGGTCCTCTTAGTAAAGGAAGCTAACAATACAAGACTGGGAATGTCCCCTATTAATAATAGGGAACATGTCTTTGTTGTTTACAAGGCCTCTCGAAGAGCGAGACTGTGAAAATGCATGGTCGTGCTCAGATGAATTTTCATCAGCTTATTGACAGTCAAACGTGGAAATCGAGAAACACTTGTAGACGTAATAAGGATAACGAAGAATCTTACCTTATAGTTCATGAAGAGACATTAAGCGACATAGGAAATGGGCTATACACTAACAGCGCACTTGTCCAAAAGGACAAGTGGGAGATTGAAAGGAATGGTGTCCTTTGAACAAGTGTATTATTCCGATAGAGGGTTCGGAATTATTAGAAAGCTAATTATTCAGTGAGGTCAAGTGATCGGAACGCCTAGGTGGAGGCCACTTCCGATCAGTAATATTAATGTATAATAAATATTACAACTTAATCTTGACTGAACCCTTCGGGTCACACCCCAATCGAGTAACCGATTCGAGGCGACGAATCAATCCGAAGGATTAGATGAGTCATTAGAGTATTACGAATAAAGACGTCGGATATCGAGCTTTGAGTGTCGAAACCGAGCGTCGTAAGTCCAGTCGAATTTAGAATTCAGTCGAGTCGTATTTAGAATTCGACGAGACGAGAAATCAAGCAAACGACAAGTTCAAGCTAAGCCGTAGCCTTGCATTGTCCTAGGCATGCGAGTGCTAGGCTAGCATAGGGCACCAACCGCATCGCATGGCTATGCCGCAACCCAAGCATGCATGTGCGTGCTAGGCTTGCTGGACGAGCATGCTTGCGGGGTTGGTGCGCCTAGTCGCACACACGCTAGCACCAGCACGCATGGCTGGGCTAGTCAAGGCCTTGGCGAAGGCGTCAAGCAGCTGGCGCATAAGGGCGAGCATCACCCCTCGCAAGCATCACCCCTCGCAAGCATTGCACCAGGTGCTAGCGTAGCACGCTGGGCATCGCTAGCGAGGGATGCACCCAGCAGCAGTCCACTAGCAAGCGCGGCATACGTGCTAGGCTGCTCGCACTCGTTGCCGAGCTAGCAGCGCCCAGCATAAGCAACGCAGCAGCAGCAGTAGCTCGCATGTGTGCGTGGCCTGCTTGCTTTGCGTATGCATATGCGGGCTGGCTGGCAAGCCCAGCCATGGTGCTAGGCGCCAGCTAGGCAGCCTTGGCAGCCAACGCTGCTAGCCAGCTCATGCGTGCGCCAGCACATGCTCAAGAGGGGACCGGTTTTGGTGGATTGCTTGGGGAGCAAGGGGAGTTTGGTCCCCCCTTGTGGTCCTCACCTAACCACCCTGCTCACCTCTTAACACTTGGCGTTTGTTGATTCACTTGCATTTTCAATTTGATTTTTGAGTTAAAATAAATTGAATAAAGTGCATTTTTACCAACTCTCCCACATTGATGGGAGATTGGGATTCAAGGCTCCTTTCCCTATAAATATCCATCATTTGGGATTGGGAAGGGACACTTGAGTTGTGAATTTTAAAGGATCTCCAAGAAGAGAGAACCTTAATTCTAATACTCTAAGTTTTCTTGGTCTAGCCCCGACTAACCTTCGGGGTAGGGACCGTTCGGGTTGGGTCTCGAGGGTGAGAGCCGTTGGAGGCTTACGCATTTGTGGAGCTAACGCTTTCAAGTACGAGCTCTTAGAAAGAGCGAAGCACGCGTCATGGGTAAGATCGTATTTTCTTCGTTCTCTCTCCTTGTTAATTAATTATGTGATTGTTAATTAATTAATATGCATGTTTAGTTACATTAATTTGTGTGCGGATTTTGGGAGGGTTTCATTCCGCGTAGTGGCGGACACTACGAAACCCAACACATTCCCCGTGCCGTGTCGGCCGCTACCATGTCGTGCCCGTGCCGCCCGCAGGCCGGCCCGGCCCATGCCTAGCTCTAGGTGCATGTAGTGCTATCTACATATGGGTGTAGGCAAAAATTTGTACTTTAATGTACACAAAGACTATCTAAGATTTCATTATATCATCCTATTAAATTTTCTTTTTGCTCTGCAGTAACATTTCAAAATGATAAGAAACAAATCCTAGAACTAAGAAATTAATGTTGAAGAAGGCATAAACTATAAAACTAACACCAATCTATTGAGAAAAATACTATTTACAAATACATGATGATTCTCTCTCTAATCTTATACAAAGTCATCCATACAAGTAAAATCTTGCTTGTATGTGCTACGAACTAAACTTAATACAACTAAGACGTACAATGCTGGAAAATTAAGCATACTCAAAAGGTACCTTGGTACATGCTTTACATTGCACAATATCAAAATTTGGTGTTAATAGCTTTATATTAGACATTCAACCAAGTACAGAAAACAGTGATTGGCTCTTAATTAAATGCGAGCAAAGAAATTCAGTATACTACTTTTTTTATTTCCTGAAGCTTTGCAGTTGCTTATCTTACCTTTTTTCAGAACTTTAAACTGTTCTTTGTTGTCATCTAACGTCTGAGTTGTAGAGTTTACACTTTCCTGGGAATCAAGAGTTTGCCTTCTCAACTCGGACTGATCATCCTCAGTCACTGATGATTTTGTTGTAGGGGTAGTTTCTGTGTTCTCTGAATGAAGTTTCCTTTTTCGGAAAGGATTATTGTCTGGTGTCTTTACCAGAAACTCCTCAGAAACACTAGAGATTTCTTCATCATTGTGAGCCTCTGATGCAAGGACTAATTTCGAAAGAGCTGCAGCTTCATCTGAGAAATTTCTTTCCTTCAAGACTTGTCTAGGTACCGTCATAGTACTTGTGCCTATAAATACAATTGCATTATTATCTTGTCAATTTGTGTAACATACATTTGCACTTTCAAAAGGAAAACAGGATATTCTTTGATGAACAACTTACTCGAAATGCTTCTCTCTTTTATACTTAGGTATGAATATACAGTAAAACAGCTCTGTTCTTGTTTCTCTTTGTCCCTATGAACTTCGAATGCTGGATAAGGTTTCGCTGCTCCTGTGTGCAGTAATTATTGCAGCTACATGTTATTTTCGAAATCATATCTTAAAATAATAATTATAGGGTCTTTTCTTCACCGGTTTTTTAAGGCAGGGGTGGTAAAAATAGAGGGCAATAAACTTACGATGCTTATTTCCTTTATTGGTTTGTTGAGATGAAGCAGAACGAGTCTCTACAGCATCTGCTGGATCAGACACCTCATACTGTTCAATTTCAGCCAATCCAGAATTTTTCTGACTCAGTGAACACTCGTAAGCTTCCATTGTAGAGGGGTCTAAATTACCTTCAGCAATAGCAGTTGCAATTGATGGGGGAATGATTCTGATAGGTTTCACCAGTGGTTAAAGAAAAAGCGAGTGCGCAACACTTATACACAGACACAAGTAAACAACCTTAGGAATGGGGGAAAATTTTTAAATTTATTATACATATATTTTTTCATATAAAGCATCACAAATAATGTTGTTGGTAGGGAAAATTTTGGCTTTTGTCTCGGCTATATAAATGGAATTTTCATTTAATGTTAACTTTTTATGTCTTTTCATTTAAGGTTTCTCAATAAGCTAGGTTTTGTAAGTGAGTTCACAGCACAGCTTTCATGCAACCGCTTGCAAAAACATCATTTCAGATACAGAAGCTTAGACACTACTCCTAAGAGCAGTGGTAAATTCACACTCGGTATTTGAATAATATGTCCAATGTCGATGGACATTTTGGGGTTATTTCTAATAATTTTGGATCTAGAGGCATTTTGAGGTTTTCCCGACTTAGTTGTAAGAAGGCAGTTTTGGAATGAAAATAGGATCAAATGGTTCTATCCTGGAGTAGACAAAAGTTTTCCTTACTGTAGTAGTTAATATTAAAATGTGGATTTTTCAGTCTCATGTTCAAATAACCTTCTCCATATATAAGAGGTATATGATTATTGGCATATGCATCTCCAATGAGCCTAGTTAAAGGGAAGCAATGAGAAGGATACGGTCCCAAGAAATCAATTTCTCCTCCGAGTGACTCCAAAAGTGTTTCTGGGAGTTCTTTCATGTGCTCAACGTTCTTCTTTTCTCTATTATATCTATAGATAATGAAGGAAAAACAACATCAGCAGTAAGCAAGAATAGAAGAGGTAAATCTACCACTACCTAGTTTGATATATATATTTATAGGAAATTGCCAACTGGTGAGGCAGCCCTTTGAGTATCATTTTCTTACATCGTAGCATGTTGGAACACCGCCACTGCTTCCTTGAAAGATCTTGCATAATCATCAGGCACTTGCTTACCCTTGTCAGTCTTTAAAACTGATAGCACCTGCAAGAGTAGACGAGCAGGTGGAAAATAGAGTGTTTTAGTGGCTAGTTGAGATAGCTCAAATGTTATGACATTTAATGATGCACCCTTGTCTGCAACAGAAAATCTATCATACAAGAAGTCAATGGCAGAGTTCAGGTTATAAAACCAGAAGCAAGCAAGCAGGTGAAGGAGGATGCCATGCTAGCCATTTTATTCTGATATGTAGACTGTTTAAACTTAAAAGACTAACACAGAGCGGGTCTAGCACTCTAGCCTGCAAACCATGGGTTTAGGTATACGATTAAATTAAAGATAATTAAGGTTAACATGGATCTATAAGGACATAGTCTTTGATAAATTCACAATAGTTCAACATGACAAATTGGACATTGAATTTATTTTATTTTATTTTTATTTTAATTTTTTTTTTTTCCAGATTTTAGCCAACAAATTGATGTATGTGTTTTATACCATGTTTTACCCCGGTTTTATAATATATATTTGCATGGTTTTGGGCTCTATGGAGCCATTTCTTGCTAACAATCTCTTCTCTAGTGTGTTCGATCTATTTTAGTGAGTTTCACAGGAATACGGAGTTTTTTGGATGAATCAGACGTGTTTTGGATGGTTATAGAAGAGGTTAGTGAGTGAAAATGAAGATTTCCCCCATGCCCTGTTGGGCATAGCTTGCCCGGGCAGACAGGGCAAAGAAGGACAAGCTAGTTACGAAGTACTGCTGCAGTTTCTACATGCCCGATCGGGCATAGCTTGCCCGGTGAGACCGGGCATTGAAGAGCAAGAATTCAACAAACTCGCCTTTTAGAGCTGCTTCGCGCGCCCAATCGCGCGTAGCTTGCCCGGTCAGACCGGGCAGAGGAAGAAAAGAAGAACAACGAAGAAGAAACGTCGCCGTACTCTGGCCGCCCGATCGGGCAGACCTTGCCAGGTTGGACCGGGCACTGTTTTGCAGAAGTCGTTTTATTTAATTTCGAAATTCTATCTTTTTAGGGGTATAAATACCCTTTGTAATCACAATTAGAAGACTGATTATTATATCCTCTAGTATTAGTTTTACCGAAAAACCCTAGTTACTCTGTCTAGCATTTAATTTCTACTCTTAGTTTTGATTTATTGTTCATCAACAATTCAAGTTCTTTCAATTGAAGCAATTGGTATTCATCTATCTCATTTCTCTTTTATTTCTTATTGCTTATTGATTATGTCTTGTCCATTGAATCTCAATTTTGATTTCGTTAATATGTGTGAGTAAATTCTTAATCCGGGATCTTGCAAAGCCCGAAGATGATTAAAACATGAATTGAATCTTTAAATTCTCCAATAATAATCCCAATTGACATGCTTAATTGATTGTATTTATGCCAATGCTAGATTAGGAATAATTAGTATTGTTATCATCCCTTTGTTCTTATTGCAACGGAAGTTGGGTATTAACGGGATTTGGGTATTTCAATTAAGGGTTTGAAGATTATCACGGAAGTAGGTGATTGGATGATTAGGAAGCTAAGTATTGTGTTTAATGTCCCTTATTGCTTGATTCCATGGAAATAGGCTTGATAGTTGATTTGGGAAGCCATTGATAACTCGGAAGAGACCTTTGGTATTATTTAGGGGATGCTTTTCCTCTTGTCAATTGATTGTTATTGGGGGTAGATTCATTAGTGCTTTGATTATATTCGTGGTAATGCTTGATCTTGGATGCTTTAATTCATTGATTATCTCATTCTTGGTTAATTGTGTTATTTAGTATATTAGTTATTAGTGTTCTTCATTCTTGATTCGGTTACTTGCTTAGTGATTTCTTGAGTCTATTTAATTAGGTAGACCTTAGTCTCTTGGGATTCGACCCTTACTTGCCCGACTACATAGTTAGGAGGAATAGTTAGGTTATTTTTGTTAGGTACACGACACGCCTATCACAAATCAGAGCTATTAGAAGAAGCTTCAAGCTAAAGAAAAGGGAAATATTCTTACAAGTTTACAGCAACATTTGAGTTCCATTCACACTAAAGAAATAATTGATGGGAAATCAGCATTCTTGTTAGAGAAAATGCAATTATTGTATGTTCAAAATTCTTTTGTAATTGTTTGAGACTACTAGCTCAGCTATCTGTACATTAAGTACTTGAAAGATGTAAGACTATAGAAAGCTAATGTAATACTGAGAAGAGGGCATAGACACTTATAGAAAATATTTCAAGAATTTTATATGCTCTTTAAAAGCTGGTTGTATTCAACAGTGAGGAAGGTCTAAATTTCTGAAGGGTGAAGCTCCAAAGATCCATTTTATATCTAGACAGCTTAGGTAATTTTATTTGACTTCCTTTAGCCTCGTATTTACAGAAATTCAATTGCGTTAATTTTAATCCAATTTACTTCTTTTCTCTTCTTTCAATCAAATTTCCTGAGTATTATTTCCATTCTGCAAGAAAAACATTCTGAGAGAAATAAACATGAAATCTAGAGTTATCTTAAGGGCTTATAATCCTATAATGCAAGAGCTAAGGAGATTCAAACAATTAGGGATCAAGAATTGTGTCGTTTAGTCTTATTTGAAACCTTGGATGAAGTGGAAAGAAGACGAACAAATCCTAATATGATTCTATGTCTGATCTCCTAGAGAATAAACACTCATAATTCTGATATTCTTGGCTGACAAAAGATACTTACACGATCTATGTTGCGGTACTTTGAGACCAGCGCATGAGCTTTAACAATTCCAATACCAGGAATAGATGGAAGAAAATCACAGCCTGCCAAGACGCACATATCTGTGGGCAAAAACACCATAAGTCACAATTTGAGTTCAAACATCTAGGAGAAAAAAAATTAAAAAAATGCCAGATAAATTAAAGAGGTTTCCTTGTTATCCCTCTACAAATACATAATACAGATGCTAATGCAAGTTATAGGGAAGAGATCCAGCTTGAGTACTTCAGCATTTAAAACTGAAAATTTTCAAAAGTAATAAAAAAATAAAGCTTTAAAATTGTTTGAAAATATACCTATGAATAAATTGGTGTTGAAGTTTCGGAATGATGGTTTAATTTCTGTCGAGTTAAAAACCTTATCTATAATGATCTCCTCACCATTGCCAAATCGATCCATTTTAAAAATGATCTGTTCACCAGCATATATAATTATGTGAAAACAATGAATGAACCAAAGATATGGAATTGGAAAGTTGCCAGTAAGCGGTATAACTCCCATCTTCAGGGACAGAAAGTTGACGAAGTTCTTACAGATGGGCAGCCATATGCCAACAGATCACTGTCTTCACTAATTATAGCCACGATACCACCATGTTCTTCTCCAAGGCTAGACAAGTATGCCAATTGTGCATCAGCTTCATATGGAGCAACAATAAACTCAACATTTTCTGTTTTCAAAGTCTGAACATAAGTTACACAAGTGAGCCAATAATCTTATTAGAAGCAGGTTAGAAGCATCCAAAGAACAACTCAAAAATGTAAAAGCTCACATATTTAAAGTGTCAATGAATAGCAAAACATTAATTGGGTGAATGGCATACCTGTATCAATAGGTGTGCCATAGATGGAGTGATGCTGATTGCTCTCTACAGAAAAGAACCAAACTAGTCAATGTTGGAGTTTATGCATTGCTTTAGGCAGACACATATAAAGAGATGGATGGGACTTCAATCAATAATCAATATTATGGAGTACAAAGTGAATTTTATCTGTTAATTAATCTTGCAAAGACTTAGTTAAGAGTTATACCTACAATTATAACAAAAAAACAAAATTTAATAATTGTTTATACTATCACATGTTCTGATAATAACATACTGCAAAAATAACTACAAGATTAATGTTCAAAGTACTGCAAGATATTATAATATTAGCATACTACAAAGTAAACAATATGAGATATAAATCCCCTAAACCATTTAAGCAACCGATCTGTGCCGGAACGGGTCCATTTTAACATTCCATTATGGAGTAAAAAGAGGATATTGGTTATTTAGGTTGATTTACATGATATTTTCAATGGTACAACCTGCAGACCAGCTCATAAGAACTGTAGGACAGGTTGCATTAGTTCCGCTACACAGTGCACTTGCAATGGAGAATTTTACTTCCTACTTTTGAAATTTATCTTAGAAGATCAACACTAATTTTAGTGTCTAAAGAAGCCTGTTGAGGCTCTTGTATGTCTAAGAAGGAACAGAAAATAACCAGTAGCTATAACTTTTGTCCAGAGAGTAATAGTGCTCCATACTACTTTCATATGATTTGGTTCAAGTGTGTACAGTGTACATGATAGCTGATCTAGAGCTCTCTTTTGTTAGCGATGTCAAAAACTATTTCTAATTGAGAAACACACAAAATATTCCTCATTTTTGTGAAATTGAAGAAGGTGAGATTCGTGAGAACCACTGAAATAGTGCATAAAACTAAACCTAGCAACAAACATGTCAGTCATTTGAGAGTCAACTTGCACATTTTCTCTATTTTTTAGGACTTCCTTTTTGAGGTTATTCAGGAATAAACACTTCACATCAAATTTAACAATAATTTCCAGTCCTGCTGACTCATTTGATGTCATAGAAATTGGCAGAACTTGTAACAATAGTATAAATTAAGCTATCTTAGGGTCAACAAATTAGTTTCATATGTGGGCATGAGAACTAAATATATTTACACTTTGATAATAGTTGGAAGAGCAAAAAAAAAAAAAAAAAAAAAAAAAAGCCAAATAACCCTTATGTCAGGATAACATTGAAGAACAGAAAAAAAGTTACAACCTTTTCAATCTCAACATCTTCTTATTGCTCCATATTATTTTTGTTTCTTCCACATCCAAAATATACCCTATTCTGAATCCTCCACGGTAGTTGTTGCAACACCACTTAGACTCGTAACACTTTTCTATTAGTCCTCAAGACTAAAAGCTATCACAAACTTACTGCATCGAGCACAGGGACCTGACTGTCCAAGTTATGGCCCTTTATAAGAGCTATTTACTGGCTTTAGAATTCATAATGAACCCTAATGACATAAAGAGTACAGCAAGTACAAAACTAAGTAATGTTTATCTCAAACATTTCCATATTCCACATTGTAAATTTTGAAGCGATAGCCTAATTTACACAACTGGACATAGTGGAACAAAGAACTTTTCAAACGTTGCAGGGTCAGACTTTTTTCTATAATCCTGTGCTCCGAAACTTGCAAAGTCGGTCAACATCAAAAATAAAGATTCCAAGATGTACAAGCTTGGTTAGTATAGCTCAGATATATCTCGGCGTGGTTATATCCAAATTATATAAAACATTCCTCACAATTTCCAAACTTGATATGTTAACTCTCCATGTATGCTGCAAGCAGCCCATTTCTTTTTCAACTACTGTAGCTAAAAATTAAGCAAAGATACCAGCAGAAGAATAAAATTAGCCATCGAACTACTAAACATGAGAGAAACTAGGTTGATTAACATAATTTAATATGTAACAAAACAATTCAAAACAGGAATAATCACGAATACATCCAATTAACAAAGGTAATGATTCATCGAAATCATACAAAGAGACATTAATCTAACCTGAAAGAGCTCAATGGCACCACCAACATTCCCCTCTTTAAGTTTTTCCATTGCCATTTCCTTGTTAACTTTTCTTCTCCTGAATCAATAATTAGTATGACAGACCAATTAGTCTCTACTACAACCATAGACTAAGCACATATAACAAGAAATCGACTTCACATTGAAACAAACGGTACTAAAACATGCCTGTATCGCTCGTTCTCAGTCCCGGCTTTACAAGGAATGTTCCCACCATCAAAAACCACAACTGGGGTAATCTTATGGTGCTTTAGTAACTTAATTCTGTGCATGAAATAATTAATGTATTGCAGTTTCTTTTCTCCCTCTGAATTTAAACTCAGCTCCATGCTACATGAGTATGCTATTAAAAAAAAAAAAAAAATCATTTGTACTTCTAAGAATCAAACCCATTTTGAACTCCAAAAAAAAAATATAAAAAAAAAAAAGAAAAAAAAAGCGCAATAGTTGGTACCTCCTCTGTGAAGCCAAGCATAAGCATCAATACCAACCTGCAAAAAATTAAAATTAAAAATAAAATAAAATATATTTCGTCCAATAAATTGAATAGCACAAATTCTTATATGTGACGAGTCACACTATTAATTGATGGTGTGACGAATGTAAATGAGGTTAAGGGAAGAAGAAAAGAAAGGGAGATTACTCGTTTGCCGGCGTATTTTCGAACGTGGATGGGTTCGGTGTATGGTTTAAGAAATCTGAGTAGATCTTTGATGCCCATTATTGAGGGTGTTGTAGTGGTGGAGAGGCGGAGGAGACAATGGCGGGAAGAAATGTGGGTAAAAATGTGGATTCTACTGAATGACTGAGTAGACAGTCAGTCTGTGACGGTATGTTTTGTGTGGCTCAAATGAGAAGATAACAACTGGGTTTCTGGGTTATTTGGTTTGGTATTGTGTGACCCGGAGCTTAACCTGAATTTACCGGGAATCAAATTCGAATTGGGGAAACAATTAAATTAAACCGCGCTCTTTTGTTTCTTCTCATGGGACTTGTGTGCTGTGTAGTTTTCCGTGTTTTGTTTGTGTAGGTAGAGCTTTTTATTTTTTAATTTTTTTTTAATGGTAAGTAAGGAAAAGGAAATACGAGGACGGATCTAGGAATTTAATATGAAGCGAGCCGGATCTCTAAACCATATTCATTTTTAGGGTTTTTCTTTTGGGTGGGTTTTCCTAGCCTTCATTGCTAGGTTTTTCCAAAAAATTTTGAAGGTTTTCCTTCCCTCTTCTCCCTTTTCTCTCCATCTCTACCATCTCTATTCCTCTTTGTCTCAGTTGTAAATCTTTGTAGGGGCTTCCACTGGTGTTCTTACCGGTGGTAAGCCCCAAAAATATTTTAATTGCTTTCAATAAATAGATCTCATCGTTGAGATGATGATTTTTCTCTTAATTTTATTTTCTTTTGATATTTCTATGCAAGAATTGAAGATCCAAGGTTTCATAATATTGTATTGTTTTAGATGAAGTTTTTTATTAAGGCGATTGTTAATCAAATCTATGATGTATTTAGTTTTAAGGTGTGTACTTGTGTTGAAATTCTTGATTTCTTAGGGATTATATGTAAGTGATGTTTGACTATATTTTATTAATGAAATCCCTTTTCTTGTGGATTGTAGGTTTCGATCAATAAACCCAAACATTAAATAATCAATGATGTAACCAACTCAGCCAAATTATCTTCCACAAATTTAGCTGCAACTTAATTCTATAATGCGCTTGCTAGATCATGGGGCGGACCATGGCCTAGGCTGGCCACACCCCTGATCCGTCTTTGAGGAAATTTAGCTGCAACTTACCTCGCCACGTGGACCAACCAGAGTCCGCCACGTGTCACCCAGGGAGGACTCCAAAGTGGACCAATCAGGGCACGACACGTGGCAGACATATATCCAATTAGGAAAGGCGGCTTTTAAGGGCCCAAACTCTTAGGCAGCCCAATCAGTCCTAGGTTTCCGTAACCTAGGACTGGGTATGCACTTCGAGACCCTATAAAAAGGGAGATGTTCCCACGTAGGGAACGGGGGGGGGAATACATTCAATCCACACAAATTACGAGATTAAATACTCAGATATTGAGGCTGTCTATGAGAGTTGGATGATCATCTCTCACCATAGAGAAACCTGATCCCACTTTACATTCCGCACCTTTTATCTTCCGAACAAGTTCTAACTTGATCGTCGGAGGCGGAACTCCACCCAACCGGAGTCTCTGTTGGTTTGCAGGTACAGGCGTCCGGAGTCCAGTCTTGGTGTTGTAACTCTCCCGAGGGACACAGAAAACCCCGAAACATTTGGCGTCGTCTGCGGGGAGAGTACCTCTAAGATGGTTTTACAAGAAACTGTACCGCCTCCTAATGAGAAATGGCCTACGACCGGATTTGAGGTCTATTCGGACCATGACAATGATGACGACTTTGAAGTCGAAACATATGCGGCTGCCGACGGTTCACTCAGAACAAGACGCACTCGTCCCATGGAAAGAAGGGAACGGGGCGATGACCAAGCAGGTCTTAGTAAAACATCCGGACTGCTGTCTGGACAGCAACAGGCGGCAAAAAGGCACGACCCCAACTACACGAGACGAACTTATGAAATTCATGACAAGTTTCAAGGGGGAGATAAAGGACCTGATCGACAAAAAGACGGTTGGCTCCAACAGGGTTCAGTCGGCCAAAAAACTTTCTCTCTCTGAGAGGAACAAGCCGGCCAGAGATCGAGAGCCGACTTCGCATCCTAAATCAAAGGAGGGGAAGCGGCCCTTGATCGATCTTACAAAGATCCGATTCCTGAGACAGGGACGAGGAAGGTCATTCGGCACGTCCAGCCGGATGACACAAAGAAGACTTACTCTGATGCCCGGATGTTAATTCAGCAGAAGAAGAGTCAACAACTGTCTAAGTCGGCTTCAACATCGAGTTACCCAGACAGCTTTCAGAATACCTCAATGAGGTATTCGCAATCAAACCGAGAGGGTCAGTCAGGCGGCTTGTCCGTCCACTATGGCCCTCAAATAATCCATTCAGCTCCGTATGTGCCTCAGCAGCCATACATGTCGTATGGACAACCTTACATGCAATCGGCCCTCTTTAGGGGGCAGGCGGCACAAAACGTCCAACCTTTGGACTGGCAGCTCCGTCTGCTAAAAATTGGGGAACAACATTCTACGTTCTCCAAGGAAATAACTGTGGCGGCATAGCTGGCCAAGGTTAAAAATGTTATGGTAGGTACTTATGATGGTACCAATAATCCAGAAGATCACCTCATGGCTTACTCCAACCTCATGTATTTACAAGGGTTGGATGATGCCGCATGGTGTCGATGCTTCCCAGCCACATTGAAGGGAATCGCCCAACGATGGTTCGACAACCTGCCGACCAAATGCATCAACAACTTCAAGACGCTTGCGTACTTGTTTGCTTCCAACTTCTCTATGAACATCCCTGCTAAGAAAACAAGTCTTGACTTAGGTGCAATTCAGCAGGGAGATAGAGAAGGGCTACGGTCATATATCAGGCGGTTCAATCTGATGAGAATTCAGATTCAAGGGCAGTCTGATGAAGTGACCTATACAGACTTCTTCAAAGGTCTGAAAGACGGGTCGAACTTTAAATTCGACCTCGTCAAAAAGAGGGTTGCTACCCTCCAAGAAGCTCTGATGGAGGCGGACGCCTATATACAGGCGACCAAACTCTGTAACATCAGTAAGTAGTCGGACTCCAAGAAGTCTGACAAAAAAGAGAGTCGGTCATCACAGCCGGCTAAAAATGAAGAAAGTAAAAAGAGAAAAGAGATCTGGGCGGCAGACGACTATGAGCAGCCGTCCCAGAAGAAACAGAAGGATTATAAACCGTACATCCCAAGGTACGAGTTTAACAAGGACTGTTACTCCATCCTCATGGAGATCAAAGACCGGGTGACCATTGAGAAGTCGACTGCTATGAAAGGTTCCGCCAAAAATCGAAACAAAAACAAGTATTGTCACTTCCATGAAGACATTGGCCACGACACCAATGACCGCTATAGTTGGTTTTGGGGATGGAGTTGTGCAAGGTATCTCATCCCTTAGTTGGTTTTGGGGGTGGAGTTGTGCATTCGGTAGACCGGATAGACCTACCCATTCGGCTAGGGGAGAAGGGAGAAGGACGCCACATGGTGTTCCATTTCTTGGTTGTTGAAGAACTGACCGCCTATAACTTGATATTGGGTCGTCCTACTCAAATGAGTCCAAGGCTGTCATCATTCCTTCTCTTATGCTTCTAAAGTTTGAGAGAGATTGTTGAAGAACTGACCGCCTATAACTTGATATTGGGTCGTCCTACTCAAATGAGTCTAAGGCTGTCATCATTCCTTCTCTTATGCTTCTAAAGTTTGAGAGAGATGATGGATCTGTTAGCTCCCTAAGAAGAGACTAGAAGACGGCTAGAGAGTGTTATCTCTCAGACGTCAAGCCCACTGTGGTCGCATCCGGCCATAGTGAGGAATCAATAGAACTTGATGAAATCAAGAAAGCTGCGCCCGCTCCAACAGCAGCCGGAAAAAAGAGAAAGGGCGACCAGTTGTTTGCCATGAAAAAAGAAAAGCAATAGCAATCACTGACCGGTGAACGGCCGGATGAACTCCGTCCTCAACCGGCTGGTGAACACATTGATATCAATCTGGATGATACACGTCCGGAACGTACTGTTAAGGTGAGGACGATTGCTTTTGCAAAACTAGTTGCAGACTTGCACAATTTATTGAAAGAGTTCAAAGCATTTTTACCTTTGAAGTGGATGAGATGCCAGGCATCAGCCTGGATCTAGCCATCCACAAACTCGCTGTGGATCCCAAAAAGAAGCCGGTTAGGCAAAAGAAAAGAAACCATGGCGAAGAAAGAAGTGAGGCGGCAGCCGCCGAAGTAAAAAAGTTGTTAGACGCTGGGTTCATTCGGCAGTTTTACTTCCCAGATTGGGTTTCCAATGTTGTACTTTTCAAAAAGCCGAATGGAACCTGGCGCATGTGTGTTGATTACACAGATTTGAACAAGGGATGTCCAGAGGATAGCTATCCTCTTCCAAAGATCGACAGTTTGGTCGACTCCACAGCCGGCCATGCCTTGATGAGCTTTATGGACGCCTACTCAGGCTTTCATCAAATACTCTTTTGGAAGAGAGATCAAGATAAAACGACATTCATCACTGATAAGGGGTTATTCTGCTATACCGTGATGCCGTTTGGTTTGTAAAACACGTCTGCTACTTTCCAGCGAATGATTAATACAGTCTTCATTAATCAAATTGGGAGGAATGTATAGGCGTACATTGATGATATGATAGTCGAATCCAAGCTACAGACGGATTATCTTGTTGATCTCCGAGAAACATTCGCCACACTCAGGCGGCACCAGGTCATGCTCAATCCCAAGAAGTGTGTCTTTTGTGTTGAGTCCGGGAAGTTTCTCGGATTTCTGATTGATCGAAGGGGAATAGAGGGCAACCCAGAAAAAATATAGGCGGTCATAGACATGTAGTCGCCCCGCACTATTAAAGAATTTCAAAAGTTAACAGGTTATCTGGCGGCATTAGGGAGATTCCTCAGCCCGTCAGGCGACAAGTGCCTCTATTTTTTCCAAGCAATTAAAAAGAAGACTATGTTTGAATGGGAAGGGGGGGGGGCGGCGTTTCAAAAATTGAAAGAACACTTGCACTCTTTGCCAAGGCTTGTCAGCCTTTTGCCAAAGGAAGTGCTATACATGTATTTAGCCATCTCAGATCATGCTCTCAGTGTTGTTCTCCTTGCTGAAAGAGACGGCAGCCAGCTCTTGGTCTATTTCATCAGCCATGTTCTTCGAAATGCTAGATTACGGTACCCTATGGTTGGAAAGTTTGGCCTTGCTCTTTTCATGGCAGTTAAGAAGTTAAAACCTTACTTCTTAGCACATCCGGTAGTGGTTTACACAGACCAACCTATCAAGCGGCCAATGACAACCATGGAATCATCCGGCAGAATGATCAAATGGGCAATTGAACTTCAAAGCCTTGAAATCACTTTTGAGTCAAGGAAAGCAGTGAAGGGGCAAGCGTTTGCTGACTTCATTGTCAAAATGACAAGGCCGGCTGATCCTAAGAACCTTGAACAAATCTGAAAAGTATATGTGGACGGGAGCTCTACAATGAATGGCTGTAGTGCAGGCGTCATATGTCAGTCCCCTGAAGGGGACAAATATGAATATGCACTACAGTTTAAGTTACAAACCTCAAATAATGAGGCAGAATATGAAGCCTTGCTAGCCGGCATCCGCATGTGTAAGGCGACTGGGGCAAGGAAAATTGACGCCTGCTCTGATTCGCAATTGATCGTTAGCCAATACCATGGTGACTATGAGGCCACCCATCCGGCCATGATCAAATACCTGCAGGCAGTCAAGGAAGAGGCTGGGACAATTGATGAATTTCATCTAAGTCAAGTGCCCAGTTCTGAGAACAATCAGGCGGATGCTCTCTCTAAGCTAGCATCCTCCGCCTCCTGTGATACACCGAGGTCAGTATTTTGGGAAGTTATGGAAAAAAGAATTATTGAACAAGATACCATTGGAATTCTGGACCGAGGCTCAACCTCGAT